CGGCACCGCTCCCGCCCGAGCTGCTTTATTCGCCTGCCCCTAATGCCGAGCCTGCTTATTTGGCAGTTTCTCAAGTTACTCCCCTCAGGCAGCTTGAGCCAGTAAAACTAGATCCTTTCATCTCGGCGGAGCTTACTGACAACCAGCCGTCTGGTTTCCTAGGAAACAAAATCTTGGCTAGAAATAGTGAATCATTTCCAGGTCACTTTCAACATGGAGAGTGGAGCAGGGAAGCATTGGACTGAGGAGGAGGTTAAAGCCTTGTTAGGCATCTGGTCAGAAAAAAATATCAGAAATCAACTCCACGGCACCCTGAGGAATAAAGGAATATTTATCTACATTGCTAAAAGGTTGCAGGAGTTAGGAGTTTGCAGGGACTGGAAACAGTGCCGTGCAAAGTATAAAAATCTCAAGTATGAATACAGAACGGTTAAATATGCCCACAACTCTGGGGATGTCACTAAAACCATGAAGTTTTTCCATGATCTGGATGCCATATTGCGATACGAACCTGTCACACAATTAGCGGCAGAAGAAAACGGCAGGGGGATCTGCGACCGGGACGCAGCCGAACACGAGCCCCACCACAGAGAGCACGCAAGGTAAAAAAAAAACAACTGTTTTTGCTTCTATTTTTTTTTCTCTCTTTGCTTAAAAACCAAAGGGAACGAAACTGAAGCCTGAGTTTGCTCGAGCCGAATTGGAGGTTGCGCAGCCCCGACAGCACTGCTAGAAGTGACTCGATGCACTTCTGGCGCAGGGGAATAAAATGTTAGCACCCACCAGTGTCGAAGTCTGTAAATACAGCGTAATTCGAGCAAAATTATGCTAACTGCTTGTGCTGCAGCCGCGGTGAGTGCTCTCGCCAGGTGTCAAGGCTCCTGCGCTGGGTTGAAACGTTAAATTGAGAAAAGCTGTTTTCCTTCCCTTTGACCTTCGTTTGCAGGACTTTGGAAGCAGGTTTAGGTAGAACTCCAACTCAGATGTAAACTTAAAGGTAAAAGTAAAGGTTGAAACTGTCATGATTTTTTAAAAATCATTATTTGTGGTACAAGTGTAATTTACTGTTTTTTATTCTTATTTGAATAAGACTAATTTGACTAATGGTAAATCCAATTATTTTGTAAGCAATCTAATTTAAATATTTGAGAAACAGGGATGTTTAATAACTTCTCATTGGAAATTGTAGTGAGGAAAGTAAAAACCATGTTTATCAGACTATTTTGAGGCAAAACAAATGAATACAACTGCTTTTAATCGGAAGGGGTTTTTAACAAATTATTTGCATCTCTTGTTTTACTCAGCTCTCTCTACATATGCATTTAAGCTGTGCTTAACGTTTCATTAGGGTCAATCTGCTATTTGTCATCACTCAAATCTCCTTGCCACATCCTAAATGTCACTGAAGCATAAGCTCCAATAATGGTTAGAAGTATCAAAATAAGATGGCTAAAAAGAGAAACACAAAGCTTAGCCGTTTGTTCCCACAGTATGTGGCAATTTACCTTAATTAGGGTTGTGAATCTTTTGTAAGAAACTGAAAAACACTACCTTTGTATCAGGGGAGATTGCCAAATGCACAGAAAGGAGCTGGACATCTAGTTTGCCCTTGTAACCTTCCACGTCTCCCTCTACAATGCTGTTTTACAAGTCTGAGGAAAAGAAATTGCCATTTTTCTTGTCATTGTTTACCTTTACGAAAAGCTTGACCTTAATTTGTCATCCCTAGCAGAAAGCCACTAACCCGTCCAAGTCGCTTTAAAATAAAACAGCAATTTTATAGTATTTTAACATGTGCTTTCTGCACTGTGTATTGCAATCCATTTTTATTTTTAAACTTGCAGAACCAAGGCCAAATCTTTGGCTAATAGAAGCTGTTAAGCGTCTGAGGATGACGTGAAACTAAGATACTGTCCTTCATCTGAGGATCTGCCCTTAGATTACCCTCTGTGTTTTGATGTAGTTTGCACCAATTACTAATTCTAATTCTCATCTGCCTTAGACCTCTGGCAAGTTTAAATTCGAAAAAGTTAATTTCAGTTGAGAATATCAAACTAGAAAATATTTTTTAAAAATTAGCCCTGGGTGAGACACACCTCATTTTGAAGCATTGGGACAATCTGTTTTTAAAGGTGATGTAATTAAATACATCTCTTAAATGCACAAGCATGTCTGTTACTCCCTTACAACAACAACAAGTTTTATAAATAAACAAAAATTAAATGCAACTAACTGTAATAATGCAACACTAATGGTAAGAATTTAAATGCAAAGATTCCCACAACAACCATAATTCAGCCACAAAGAAACCACACGAAGATATAAACGTGTCCTGCAGCTACGCAGAATGCATATATCCGTAACACGGGGCAGAGGGAACAGCTGTGAGAACATCAACTTCCTTCATTTCAGAATACACGTCAAGCAAGTAATGCAGTACTAGATCCCACCATAGTCAGAGTTGCAATTTCTGCCCAGCTCGGTACTTTGAAGGGCACTTTGAAGGCTAAAATGCCATCTGTGGCTCTGCAGCTGATGCTCACAAGTTGTTTTTTTTGTGGGGGCAGATCTGAGGGTGTTGCTCCCACAGAAGGAAACGTGATTCCCTGCGCAGGTGAAGGCAGCCCCCTGCCCCTGCTCCTGCCCTGCCAGCAGTGAACCTGGCTGGTCTCCTGCTGCCCGCGGGAGGAAGGGGACTGCTTTAATGTGGTTATCCATCCTCCGTAAGGCAAACTGACCAAAGTACACTTGCCTCCCTGCAGGTTCCCTCCTGGGCTCCTGCCTTTCAACCACAGGGTGTCACAGGAGAGGAGGGGAAAGTGGTCCCTCCTCTCTTTCAGAAGGCCGAGAAGCCTTGTTTTGACAGAGCCGGGGGAACCAAGGATGTCTAGGCTTGTGACTTGGGTAGCAACAACAAAATGCTGTCAGCAAACTAAAACCTGTGCCGAATAATACTGTCCACCAGGTGTGCCTGTCTTTATTTTAAGAATCTAGTAGCTATACTAATTTGTTTAAAAAGCATCACAAGGGACAGGGCATGCTCCCAAACAAATTATTTATTTTTACCATTCTGCTTAGCCTCAGTCTAAATATTCATACCCATCCTTAATGTAAAGCTACAAAGAATGTCTTTGTGTTTGATTTGATTGATTATCTCAACAACTGGGAGACTGCTGGGTAGGGGGAGGAAGGGAAAGGAATAAAAAAAGAGACTGCTTTTATGAGACTGGATGGTATTTATATAGTGTTTATATAGTGTTTCCCAGAGGTTTTTTTCATTTCTTGTACAATCAGTTTTCTTTTGAAAGTGTAATTGAAGAAATTACAATCCTGAAAATCACAATCAAATCTAAGAGAGAGGTGTCTCCGGGCAAACTCGGTAGCAACACACACACCAATTCCCAGCTCGTTCATGGAAAGATGACACATTTTGCATAAGCACATAGAGCAGTGAGAGCCAGAGGTGTTCATGTTGTCCTCCCAAAGTACAAGTTTTCAGAGGCAAACACAGAGACATAGCTTAAATAACCATTAAAAAAGATATAACTCAACATGTTCACTTCTCTTAAAATTTAGTTTGTGTGTTATCCTAGTAATCAACAACCAAGAAAATCCATGTAGAAATTGATGGTACACTATGAAAAATGGTAACATTCATTAGAGTTTTAATGAATGACCTTCCCATTCTGTTATCTAGTTTGATTGTTTCAAGTTAAATCAGGTATTAATAAATTGAGTACTTGATTTACAAAAGTAAAGCTCACCCAGTAATTCATGTTCAGTTACTTACGCTCTTTTATATTTCTAAATATTAACACACTGGCCACTTTCCTTGCCCTTCACTTTACCATAGCAAATGCAGAAAAATTATGAAGTCAGAGCAGAAATGCATCGGCAGTGAGAATATTATCTTATGTATAAAACTCAGACAGCTACTAGCAATGCAAACAGATCCTTCAGAAATGCTGACTTGAAAATGCCACTCCTAAGTAGTTTTCCACACCTGGACTTTAACATTAAACATGTCACTGACAAGTATTTTATGTAACTTTTTTGCTCAGCAGATGCTTTTTTCCCCATCAAATACTCTTAATACTCTCTTTGTGTTAACTGTTCTTATTTACTTAAATAAGTTTTTTAATATTACAATGTAATAAAATTTGCTCATCCTAGTACCCATGGCACACTCAGTGGCCTTCCAAGAGAGAATTTATCTCCCTTCTCCGTAGTTTGCTTTGCAGCTCCTAGGCAGATAAAAGGCCAGTCCTGGTGCTGGAGGTGGAGGCATGAGCACACCTTTCCCTCCGTCAGCCCGGCCGCAGGGGTAGCAGCTCCTGCCAGGGAAGCAAGGTGGGCAGCTGGGAGCAGTCAGAGATCAGGCCACTGCATCTATGAGTAATTCCGAGCCTTGCTGAAAGTCTGGAGCATTTAGGATTATGTTTTCAAATTAATCCAAACGCAGTTTTGAGTTTCACCTACGTCAGGGATACCAGCTTGCATGGTAACCGCACCTCGTTACTGTTCCTTGTGACGAACTCCCGCGGCACCTTTGAACGGGTGGCTTTGATCTGCGTGACCTGCCCGGCTGGAGCGGGCAGTAGCTCACTCCCCGTACAGTGGATCAACATTTCAAACCTCCCGACAACGCGGTACGCTGAATACAGCGTATTACCACAGAATGACTTAAAAGTCTGTCCTCTGGGAAAATTAAGCTGATTCAGAACCTGACTTACGTATGCTGCTTTCCAAACTGACATAGCGATTGCTGCAATAATGCTTTTTGAACAAATGTAGGAACGCTATACTGTAAAAAGCTAGACTGAATCCTGTCGGCTACAAATACAACTGTTCTCTAGTCACAGTATTTTCCCGCTCTCCCTGTGCCATTAGTGAATTCCACAGATTTTCAGAACTCTTCACAGATCGTTGTTGTTTTCTTCATACTCTTCTCTAAAGATTCTTCTTAGATTTTTTTGTTTTGTTATCTAAATGGATTTGTGGATTTGTGTCCAGAGAAGTTGTGGATGCCCCATCCCTGGAGGTGTTCAAGGCCAGGTTGGATGAGGCGTTGAGCAACCTGGTCTAGTGGAAGGTGTCCGTGGCCATGGCAGGGGGGTTGGAACTAGGTGATCTTTAAGGTCGCTTCCAACCCAAACCATTCTATGACTATGATATCTGAATCCACGTGCAAAGTCCACTTTTATTTGTATGGCTCTTACTTTCATTATCTACTTTCAAACTATACTTTTAATGTGCTATTCATCCCAAATACTGACAGCTGGAAGAGCATGCAAGTCACTAGAATCAAGTTAGTTTGTACAAGAATTTAAAAATACATTTCAAACAGGCTTCATATGCAAGATATAAAATAATTTAATTTACCTTCTATAACTCATGTCCCCTTATGGGGACAGGCCAAATGAATTTTACACTTAATTTAAATAGAAATTAAGTGTGGAGATTACAAAGTTAATAATCTTCTCATTGGGTATGGACGTTTTCACTTAAACTAATATAAGCTTATTTAGTCCATACCTATTTTTCATCTAAAAACTCTTTCCTTCCCAGGTGAAATATCAGTTTCTTTAGAAGATGATGAGGA